GGCCTCCCAGAGTGGTAGGGTCACACGCGCAGGCCACTGTTCTGGCCCCTTTTTAAATTTGAGCCACTGTTAGGGTGGTGGAAGGCGCTTACACCTAGAGTCACAGTAAAGGTGTAATTCAGCTCTGATGGGTCCCAACGGGGTGGTGTCCATTTATTTAAAACTATGGAACAGCTACTATAGGGAAGGCAGGTGTTATGGGAAAAGGAAAAAAAAATCCAGCCTTGAAAGCTTAAGAGAAAGGAGTTTTCCTGTGGAACTGGTTATGATTGAAAGAGAGGTCTTTTTTAAATCTCTGTTGTTGGTCATATAAATAATAGACCAATAAATAGGTCGATAAATAATAGATAAATGCTAACGAACCTTTATCTGAGAATCTTGGCTATCTGGGCGTTTAGAAAAGTCCTGGGAGGGAGGGCACCTCTTGTACTTGACTAGAGGGTGGAAGCAGCCAACCAGGAATGGGAACCCACTCTGATATATCCTGGGCAACTGTTTTCACTAAAATTTCTATTTTCTTTGGACATTTTTTAAGAGCCCTGAGTGGTAGATGGTACACCTGATCAGAAAGTGTAATCTCTGCCTCAAGCCTGTTTTATATAAAATATTTCCTTAAGCAAAATAGAGGGTATTTAATTACAAAGCAGAATTAAAACACTGATCTAGTTTTTTAGTGGCGGTAAGAAACAAGAAAGAAAATACCTCAAAATAGTGAAGCTGTCATGGAAGAGTTTGTTGCATTGTATTTGCATACCATTTCCTGTCACCATCTGGTCCTAGCCACATCTCCTAACACTACCTCACTCCACTTAAATATGCCCTACTCCTGTGGTTCTCCGTCTTGGCTAAATATCAGAACTAAAAGGGGAACTTATTTTTTAAAAAGAATGAATGCAAGGACTCCACCTCTGCTATACGTTGAATTAGAATCTGTAGGAGTCAGGCCTGTACATGTTTTGCTTTGGTTTTTTGTTTTGTTTTAATCTCTGTGGATGATTCAGATGCGTAAATGGGTTTGAAAAAATAACTTCCCTGTTCCCAAGCCACTCAAATAAAGGCTGTTCTTTGGATAGCCACATGATTTCATCTTTTATATTTGCTAACCCTTCTACTTAAGATGCCCTTCCCTTTATTTGCTTGTTTAACTGCTGCTTATTAAGACTCTTCAAGCACAAACATAATCTTCCTTGAATCCCATCCCTTCACTAAGCAGAATTAATAGTTTCTTTAGCATTTTGTTCATATTCAAGAGGCAGTCTCCACACATGGCCAAGCAATAAATTGAAAAAGTTGGTTTAACATTGAATTGTATACATTGTAAAGATAAACTTTATGGTATGTAAAGTATCCCCAAATAAGACTTGTTTTTAATAAAAAGAAAAAAATTCATTTAAACCAGAGAATCATCTAAAATATGATATAAGTATGACAAAACTTTCTATTTTAGCCTAACATAACTGTATACTCATTTGCTGATCTATTGAGAAGGTCCAAGGCCTTTTCTTTGCACATGGTCCACTGATTAGAGTTCTGCCTTATACCTCTGGCATAAGCCATACCTCCATCAGCTAACACTTCCCAACATTGCATTCTTTTAAGAGGAAAATAATTTAAACTGGCACTTGTGAAGCAATCTGAATACAGATTTATTCTTTCTAATCTTTTTCAGTTATTTCACATACTTTTATTGGGTCTTTCTAAAATATTAAACATAGATTTTTGAAGAAACAAACTGTTTCCCTTGGTATTTTATTGGTTTACATAATAATTAAATTGTGAAAGTGTAGTAATAAGTATAACTGACATAAACAGTTTTGAGAACAAACAAGAAAATCACTGTAAGATTTTATACTTCAACTAGTAGGAGAGAAATAGACAAATTTACTACAGAGCAATTTCCTAACCCTGAACATTCAGTACAATAGGGGAATTAGCCACTTACGATTTACAAAGGAAATAGAATGAGTCAGTTGGTTAGAGGTTAAGTATAGATGGGCTAAAAGAGCATCTACTGTGCTGCTCCATTTGATTATGTGTCTTTCTCTTGCAAAGAGATTTAGAGCATTTTGAGAGCAGAGATAGAGAACCACTGGGGAAATCTTCATTCTTACAATACTACACCGATCTTCTCATCAGAACACATGGAAGTTTTAAAAACGTGAGCAGTTGCTAAGGTTTATGGGTCTTTCCACAAAAGGCTGTGTAACAGATGCAGATTTCTTTGTTAAAAGCTTCCATTAGTTTCCTAGGGCTGCCACAACAAAAATCTGTTCTCTCACAGTTATGGAGGCCAGATTATGAAACTCAGATGTTGACAAGACCTTTCACCTTTTTTGTTTGTTTTTTTTTTTGAGACAGCGACTTATTATGTTGCCCTCGGTAGAGTGCTCTGGTGTCACAGCTCACAGCAACCTCAAGCTATTGGGTTTAAGAGATTTTCTTGCCTCAGCCTCCCAAGTAGCTGAGACTACAGGCACCTGCCACAATGCCCGGCTATTTTTTGTTGCAGTTGTCATTGTCGTTTACCTGTCCCTGGCTGGGTTCAAACTGGCTAGCCTCCGTGTATGTGGCTGGCGCCGTAACCTCTGTGCTAGGGGCACTGAGCTACTTTTTGCCTTTTTATTGTTCCCTTAACTCTTACAGGTTTTGGTGGCTCCAGGCCTTTTTCAGCTAGGGGCCACATGACCTGAGGCTGCATGCCTCTGTCTTCGTATGGTCGTCTTCTATGTGTGTCTGCATCTCAAATCTTTCTTTGCCTTTCTCTTATAAGGACACTTGTGTGGAAATAAATGAAGATCAATCAAATGAGAATAAGCAAAGGATATTTATTCAGAGCTTTCAAGGGAGTCAGCCACTAGCTCTTGCATTTTTACAGAATCAGATGCAGGCTGAGAAGTGGGTATGCCTTGATTAGAGACAATTGGCATGGGAAAGCTGCAAGCAGTCTAACTAGAAGTGAGGCATTCTGTGCGATTAGTTAGAAGTGCATAATTTGCTCTCTCTTACTGGTACCAAGTTGGAAGTGGGGACAAAAATTAGGGAACCTGTCAGTTATTAATCAAGCACTGGCCATTTGGGCCCAGTTGTTATAGTTTGGCTTTCTGCATTATTACTGGCGATAGTAGTCTGACTTTCTGTAAGTCTGATTTATAGATAATAGGCTAGCTTCCTAGATTGGTTACTATAGGTAGTGGGTTGGTTGCTGCAAGTTATGGGTCATAGTTCTGTTTTTATGTATGTTCTGGCTATTGTCCATTTGCATGTTCAGTCTCTCACTTGTCATTGATTTTATGGTCTATCCTAAATCCAAATTGATCTCATCTCAAGATCCTTAACCAAATTATATTAGCAAATACCCATTTTCCAATTAAGGTCACAATTATAGGTCCTAGTAGTTAGGAAGTAGACATATATTTTGGGGGCCATGATTTAACCTACTACAAAGTTCCTCTTAGTTTAGAAATCATGGTTACTTGTTTAGAGAGGAAAAATAAAAAAGAAAGATCTTACCCCATGGTGCCCTGAATGATACAAGCAGATAGGTTATGACTAGACTTCACCAAAGATCTATAATTTCTTTCCTAGAGTCAGAAATCTGGAACAGTTGCCCAGGCATTATTTAAAGTTTAGATTTGAGCTGAAGAACAACCCCTCTATGTCCACAGTCCAAAACAAGAGATGTCTTTGTGGTTTGGTACTATATATATATTCAGAGAATTTCTCTCCATTGGTAGAAAGCTAGAAGCAACATGGATAATACGTGAGTGTTGCCTGTATTATATTGGATAAGGAGGTAAGGAATAGTAAAAACACTTTGTTTTCTTTCTTTTTCAGTGTCTTAAAACTTCAATCTCATTGTCTGTCCAAAGAATCCTAAAACTTCAATCTCATTGTCTGTCCAAAGAAGGAAGAAATTCCTAGTTTTCAAGGATTCTAAGACACTGGTATGTAGTAAGTATACAATAAATCTTGAGTCAATTAATTAGTTGATTCTTTTTGGATGACTGCTCCAATTTTCCTTAAAAACACGATTGAAAAGACAGTCTTGTCTTTAAAGTCTGTTTGCCTGATTTATGGAATTCTAATGAGTTATCAGTAGATGGCAGTAGATTATTTTCATTTTTATTTCTTATCATTTCACAGTAGAAATCTGGAAAGAAACTAAAACTTTCTCAATTTTATAGCATGGTTTAAATAAATATCACCCGAAAGTTCTTTGGTTTATGTTGCTTCAGAAATACAGATTAATAGGTACCGGCTACTTTATTTTTCATTTTATAAATCTAATTTTATTTATTCTTTAGTTACTTCATCAAATATTTTTTTGAATATTAAAAATAAATAAGTCACTATATTTGCCTTCCTGAAGCCCGTAGTTTAATGAGGTAAGATACTAAAAAATAATGAAAATAATAAGAATAAAAATTTGTTGCGTATTTACCATGTGACAGGAATTTGCTAAATGCTTCTCATATGTTATTTCATTTAGTGTTCACAATAGCCCTAATTAGGCAGGTACTAGTATGGCTCTCATTTTACAAATAAGGAATCTGAGGCCTAGGTTAGAAATAATTTACCTAATAAACTAATAAGTGGCACAGCCTGGATTTAAAACTAGCTAGCTCTGTCTTACTCTAGGATGTATATTATTATCTATCATATCATAATAGAGATCTAAAAATAATTGTTCTAAAAAGAGAGTGATCACATTTGCTCAGAAAGATAGAAAAAGACTTCTTAGAGAAGATTTCATCTAAAATGGAGTTGAAAGATTGGCATTGATGTTAACATGATCAAAACAGTGCTTTAGGAACATTATACTGTCAGAAAAGGGTGAATTGGAGTAGAGATAGACTAACGATAGAACCCTCTTATATACCAGCCACTTCTCTGTAATCATAGAGTTTACAGGATATAGAAAAGAAACAAGTGTATAAGATGTCAGTAGTGATAGATGGTGTTAAGAAAATTTTGGTCGAGCAAGGAAATAGAGGGTGAGATAGGAGAGGTCATGTTTTAAAGAGGGTTATCAAGGAAGAGTTCTCTGCTCTGATGGTATTTGGAACTGATAACAGGTGATTCCAGTATAATTTAAAGTTGGAACAAATGGGTTTTGCCAAAAGGATTGTATGCAACCTATAAAGGAAGGAAGAGAGTCAAGGTTCTGGCTTGTTCCTTGGGTAGGTTAACTGGGGCAGCAGCAGCCCTGGGCTACCTACTTGTGGGATGTCCTTAGCATATCCTGAAGAGCCCATGAAATACCAACAATAAGATTTCCTTTGTGATTATTTTGGGCATGTCTGGTTGTATCATCCTGAGCTCTACACCCTTGGAGAGACCTCCTTGCTAATGAATCCAGGATTTGGGGCCTGAACAATAAGAAAAATGAACTTGTAATTTACTGAAGTGGAGAAGACCATGATGGAGCAGGGTTAGTGGTAGTGATGGAATGGATAGAGGAATCAAGAGTTCAGTTCAAAACATATGAATTTGGAATGACTATTAGAAATCCATACAGGAAATATCAAGTGAGCAATTTGGTATGAGACTGTAGTTCAAAAAGGATGTTCACATTAGAGATATAAATTTGGGGTTTTTCAACCTATAAGTAGATTTTAAAGTCATAGAACTAGATGGTATCACTGGTAGAATGAGTGTGAGAAAATAAGGAAGCCTAGGACACTCTAACATAAGTGAGAAAGATAAGGAGGATCCACCAAAGGAAACCAAGAAGTATGGTGTTTCAAAAAGGTGTAATTATCAAAATGTGTCAAGTAGTGTTAATAGATGAAATAAAATGACTGAATTTGTCCATCAGAATGTGGTAATATGGAGGTCATAGATACCTTAGTAAGAGCTTTAGAGTGGAAAATGATTGGTGCTGATGAGTCCAAGAATGAGAAGAGAAAGTGGAGAGCAAGGAATCTAGTTTTAAAGGGGAGTGAAGAAATGAGTCAGTAGCTGAAATGTCAGTCAAGGGCATTGGTATGGTGATTGATATATGATGGGCCATTCAGGGATAATACACTTGACCAAGTGAAGAGGGAAATTCTGTTGAGGGACCAGTTGAAGAAGTAATGTCCTTAAGTAGGTGGGAAAGAAGTAGAAAAGTAGAGGATTGGCCGTAGGAGCAAGGACACTTGATTCATTGTGAGAAAAGGGTAGACTAATATGTAACTACAGGTGCAAAATACTAGTAGATGAGTAATTTACAAACCCCTCTGATTTTTTCTACTTTCTCAGTTAAATCAGAAGGTAGATTATCAACTAAAGTAAAAGGCCAAGAGATGTGGGAGGTTGGCAAACAGATGAGAAGGAGAGAAACAATCATGTATAAAACTTAATGACTCCTAAGGGCCTAAGATGAAGAGCCCACTGAATTTAGTCTTGGATTTAAAGTGAGACCACAGTACAGTCGTGTGTCTTTATTTAAGCATATTCAGCTACTTGAGAGTAAACAAAGCAATTGGTTAGGATTTTTCCAGGGAAGTAGGACAGGGAGTGAGCTGTAAGGGAAATGAAGGTTAATGCAAAGGGATCTTAGGTAAGAAGAGAAGAATACATGAGGGGCTGAGGAATTGTGTGGAGGTAGAAGAGTCAATGGATTGAAAGCCTTGGTGTGGTTGAAAGTTTACTTAAAGTGTAAGTACTAGATGTAATGAGCTCAAAAAATAAAAGGTGATTTGAATCTAAGATGATGGATGAGGTACAGTTATACTCTGTGGGAGTGTGGAGAGGACAGATGGGAGAAAACATCAAAGAATTGAGAGATCAGGGCATCATATGTACCATCTATGTGGATGTTGAAATACCAAAGAAATATAAGAGGAGTAGTGATGGAGAAATAGTAAGACAGATGCTATGTTTTAGGAGAGAGGAGGAGCGATCTGGAGGTTAGTTAATAATAATAGGAAAGGGGAGGCTTAGCACTTAGAACAATGTCTAATATAAAGTAAGCATGATATAAATATTTACCATTGTAATTATTTGAGAGAACTGATGGAGTACAAACGTAAAGGGCATACATTTTCAAGGCAGTTAGGCAGAATTAAGGATGAAGTCTGTGACCATGAAACCCAAACTAAAAAGCTAGAGAGAAAAATCAGATTTGGATTCATTAGCACTGATTTGTGTGGTAAGCAGAAAGGACACAGTATGAGCAGAGTAAATGGTCTCAAAATCAGGGAAGACCTCATTAACGAGGTAAGTTTAAAGTGAGATTTGAAGAAGTGATGTGAAAAGACAGAACAGAATCATAAATTGTCAGGGTGATTGTGACAATCTGAAGTTAAGCATGCAGGATTTCCTTAGTTATTAAGACATCTCTAGGTTGATTTGAGTCCTCTCATTTAGGAAGGAATTTGGCTTTGTTTTTCTTTCTTTTTTACTTACAAGGTTTTAGTCCTCTCAGTTTTGTTTTGAAAGAAAACAGTTAGCTAGTACATTAACATATTAACTTTGAATATAATCAATCTTTAGGAAAGATATTGAGTAATTTAAGGAGAAAAATACTCCTTCATCTCATCAGTTACTCTTATGTGGAGAATAGATTAAAATATGATTTTAAATCTGCTAGGACTTACCCTCCCCCAAATAGTACTGGACAAAAGTGCTATATTCCCCATTTTCCATACCCATGGCAGAAATTGCTAATCATTCCTGGCACTGTTTCTCACAGATTCTGGTTTTAGTTTCATAATCTATTTCATCATAGTACAGGAGGTACCTGTCACTAATCTGTAATAATTACTCTCTATATGTAGTCTGACAGTTAAGTTAAAAAACTCACCCTACAAAAAGTGCTACATATCTCATGGCCGACTATCACTATGGTCACCTTTGAGGTACTCTCCTTGGAAGCTATGTACCATCACCAGCACCTAGTCTACCCTTCAGAACAATTTTGGAAGTCTGTTTTTTGGGATGGCCATCAGAGCTGTCACCATACAAGGTAAGACAATTAAGTTTGTGAACTCATTCCAGAAAATAAGGGTGGACTAGGTGCTAACACCAGTGCATAGCATCCTAGGGGAAATACCTAGAAGCTGGTGATCATAATTATACTGTGCAGTGAGATAGGTAGCACTTTTTCTAGGATGAGTTATAGACTTAATTGTCTGAACTCTTTTGTCAGGTACTGGTGCTAACTAAGCATGTTGTATACATTACTTTAATCATCACGACAACCTTATGATGTTTGATAAATGAGGACATTGAGAATCAAAGGAATTAAGGAACTTATTCAGGGTCATAACAGCTAAAAAGCAGAAGAACAAAGATTCAAATAAAGTTTCACTTTCCTTCCAAAAATCTCTCATTGAACTGTTTGTCTTTTAATTCTTGGCACTAAAGATAAAATGTCATTGTCATTCTTGTGACATGTTTTACAATTTAACTTTCAGCATCATCACTATATGGCAGGAAAAAACAAAAGTGAAAAATTATCAATATAGATTATTGTGTTGGAGTTAAGAAGGTAAAGGAAAAAGAGCAAAGAGGCGATTACAGGTGTAGAGAATGTCAGACAACAAAGAAAGGAGGAGTCAAGGACTTCCCAAAGAAGGTAATAAAGCAATCTCAAGAAAGAAATAACTAAAAAATCAGTAACAACAAAATAGTATCATGATAAATTAATTATGTTAAAATTGATAGCAGATTATAAAAGAGGGAAGCAGTTAAACCAGGAAGAAACATATATAGTGTTTAGAAAAGGTATAACAACCTGAAAATACTGGCCTATAATGAAAATTCGTCAACTGTAATTGCTCTAGAGTTGTTATGGTAACACTATAATTATAGCATATGTGCAAGTGGTCTGGGAAAAAATTAGAACAATCAAAATATTTATACTGTTCCATAAAGGAACAGGTATAACATTGCAGTAAGCAACACAGAATTGCCTATTATTACTGCTTTTGATTTTGGTTTTGTATATAGTCAGGGAAAATTACAAATCCTAAATTTATTTTATTTATGAGAAAAAAAGCATCAAATTTTTTATGATTTTGAGTAATGAAATATAACTATCCTAAAATGCCTGCATTTTAATTTTTATTGTGTACTTTATTCTTTTGTCCAGTTATAGGTAACGAAGGCACATCTTCATTAACAGATGTTGTAGAGCAAGTTGCAAAGCAACAACAATCACAAGCTTCAGAAATAGAAAAAAACAAAAAAGTCCTGTTCCATTTGCAGGTAGCCTATTTTGTAGTTTTTAAAATGTCTTTACTTGCTTCAAAAGTATGTTAAATTAGTGATAAGGAAGTTATTAAGAACATTTAATATTGGCTCTGCGCCTGTGGCTCAAGAGGCTAAGGCGCCAGCCACATACACCTGAGCTGGTGGGTTTGAATCCAGCCTGGGGCTGCCAAACAACAATGACGGCTGGAACCAAAAAATAGCCAGGCATTGTGGTGGGCGCCTATAGTCCCAGCTACTTGGGAGGCGGAGGCAGGAGAATCGCTTAAGCCCAGGAGTGGGAGTTTGCTGTGAGCTGTGATGCTACTGCACTCTACCCAGGGCAACAGCTTGAGGATCTTTCTCAAAAAAGAAAAAGAATATTTAATATTGGAAGTCAGTATTAAATTTATTCTGTCTCAATTATTTTGTTCTCCTTAAGTAAAGTTCATATGAATATTCTAGTTTTATGAAACTGTTTACACTCCCAATATATAAAGATTCAACTATGTCATTGCAACTATGTATAACCATATAACCTCACATGTGACAAAGAATTATTTCAAATTCACTTATTTGATAGTTTTTCCTAAAATGCTGAATTGAAGGAAGGTTAATTTTTAAGACAGTGTTTCTAAAGCTGTGACTTGTGAGTTATTCATAGCAATTGAACATTTCAAGTAGCCTCCCTCTATGTCCCTTCTCTTTCATAATATATTCATAATCGCACTTCAGGGTATTTGGGAGCCATGCATGGTCTTTGCAAGCAGCATAATTAGATATAACAATACTCTGTAAATATAACTAAACAAATAAAAATGAAAACCACGTCTTTACTTGTGACTTGTATGTTGTTATTAAATACGTCATAGAAGTGAACTGTCTAGTTTGAAAGGCCAAATTTGCCCACTTCTGGCTTCATGATTGAATTTTTCTGTGCCCCTGTTTTCTCAGTTATAAAATGGAGATAATAGTAGGTCCTGCCTATAAGGTTTTCATGAGGATTAAATGAGTTAATTTGTAAATAATGTCAGATATCCTTGGTGGGGTCCAGGTGGACAGTGGAGTGCCTGTTCTTGAAATTGGCTTTAAGTATCATAGGTTTATATGTTTAGGAAAAAGACTATATAGGGTTTAGTACTGTCTGTTTTCCTAGGCACCCAATGTGGGTCTTGGAACATACCCCTCCTGGATACGCATCAGATTCCACAAGTTAAATAGCTTAGTCCCACAAGATTGCTCCCACTTCATATGCTAATTACAAATCCCAAGCCACCCATACTTCTAATCAATTTGAAAATTTTTTAGAATGAGTCACAGAACTCAGGAAAGCAGTCTACTTACTATTACTGATTTATTATGAAGCATACAACTCAGTAACAGCCAAATAGAAGCAATGCATAGAGAAAGTATGGGGGAGAGAGCATGCATGGAACTTTCCATGCATACCCTTTCCTGGCACACCACCCACCCAGCCCTTGATGTGTTCACAAGTTCAGAGCTCTCTGCACCCAACAATTGAAGGGGTTTTTTTTGTTTTTTTTGTTTTTTTTTTTTGAGATGGAGCCTCAAGCTATCCCCCTGGGTAGAATGCCATGGCATCATGCTCACAGCAACCTCCAACTCCTGGGCTCAAGCGAGTCTCCTGCCTCCACCTCCCAAGTAGCTGGGACTACAGGCACCCGCCACAATGCCTGGCCATTTTTTGGTTACAGCCATCATTGTTGTTTGGCGGGCCGGGGCTGGATTCGAACCCGCCACCTTAGGTGTATGTGGCTGGTGCCTTAGCCGCTTGAGCCACAGGCGCCGAGCCCAGTTGAAGGTTTTTTATGGAGTGTTTATAACTTTGGGATGATTCATTATTAATTTAATCTCTAGACTCTCTCATTTTAGGAGGCTGAGAAAACAGGGCTAAAAGTTCCAGGCTTCTAATCAATGATTGGTCTCTCTGATAACCAGCCCTCATCCTGAAGCTATCTAGGATTTTACCAAGAGTTAACTCATTAAAACAAAAGAAGCTCCTATCATTCTTATCACTTGGGAAATTCCAAGGTGCTGTGATAGATGTTTGTCCCTTCCAAATCTGATGTTGAAATTTGATCTCCTGTGGAAGTGGGGCCTAATGAGAGGTGTTTGGGTCATGAGGGCAGATTACTTATGAATAGGTTAATGCCTTCCTTTAGGGAAGTGAGTTCACACTTTTTTTTAATTCTCTTGAGAGCTGATTGTTAAAAAGAACCTGGCAGCTCCCCAGCCCTGATGCCTCTCTTGCCATGTGCTTGCTGCACATTGGTTCCTCCTCACTTTCTGCCGTGAGTGGAATCCACCTGAGGCTTTCACCAGATGCAGATGCCCAATCTTAAACGTTCTGACCATCAAAATTGTGAGCCAAATCTTTTTTTCTAAACAGACTATACAGCCTCAAATATTCCTTTACAGCAACACAAAATGGACTAAAATACAAGAGTTTTAGGAACTCTGTACCAAGAACCAGAAACAAAGATAAAAATGTCTTTCTATGATACCATACTACCTGATTTAATATTTATTATACAGTATAGTAATCAAGATAATGTGATATAATTTCAGGCCAGACATATAGATCCATGGCATTAAATAAAGTGTCCAGAAATAACCCCACACATATCTACTGATTTTGAAGAAGTACCAAGGCAATTCAATTCACTGGAGAAAGATAACCTTTTCACCAGATAGTGGAGGAAAAATTAGATATCCTCATGCAAAGAGAAAGAGGGAGGGAGGGAGGAAGGAGAAAAGAAAAGAAAAAGATGGGAAGGAAGGAAAGGAAGGAGAAAGAAAGAATGAAAAGGAGAGAAAAGAAAGAAATCTCTCAAATTTCACTTCATGCCATATATAGAAATTAACTCAAAATGAACCACAGGCCTCAATGTAAGAATTAAAATTGCAAAATGTCTAGGAGAAAACATGGAAGAAAGACTTAGTGGTGTTGGGTTTAGCAATAATTTATCTAATAGGACACACAAAATTGGTTGAATTTCACTGAAACATTTTTTTTTAGTTTGTGCCTCTAAATATACTATTAGGAAAACAAAAAGGAGGTATCTTTTTAAGACCCTTTGGGCATTTGGGTTGTCACAGACTGGGAGAAAATGTTTGAAAACACATCTGACAATGTACTTATATTTGTATTATGTATACACAACCCATTAGAATGGCTAAATCTAAACAGACTGACCATATATACCAGGTTGGTATAGCAGATCCCTCTAACTAGAACTCCTAGTTAAATAGAATGTAAAATGACAGCAACCAATTAGGAAAACAATTTCTTATTTCTTAAAAAGTTAAACCTGTCCCTATCATATAGCCAAGCCATTTAACTGCTAGATATTTATCCAAGAGAAATCAATGTATAGGCCCACTGCAAAACTAGAAATAACCCAAATGCCCATCAGTTAGATGAAACTAGTGGAAAAAGCATGATATATCCATATAAGGAATATTACTCAGCCATTAAAAGTGAAGAGCTATTGATATATACATTAACCATGGGTGAATCTCAAAATAATTATGCTGACTGAAAGAAGAGAGACTTAACACTATATTAAATGATCATTCTATTTATATAAAATTATTGAAAATCAAACTAATGGTTAGTGATGAAAAGCAGACCAGTGGTTGCCTAGGAATGAAGAGGGCAGGCAGGGCAGTACAAAGCGTTAGGAGGAAGCTTTTTGGATAATGGATATGTTTATTGCCTTAATTTTGGTAATAGTTTCGTGAGCATCTAAGAATGCCGAAATTTATCAAATTGAGAGTTTAAATATGTGAAGTTTACATCTATTTTTCCTCAATAAAGCTATAAACAATAAAAGAGAAGAAGGGAGAGAGAAAAGGAGAAGAGGAAGAGAAAGGAGGAAGAGTTGGGGGGAGGAGGAGAAAACAATATAAATCTAGTGTAGAGTAGAAATGAATTAAAGGAGAAAAGTACTAAAGCCCATAAGAAAAGTTGACAGTTAATTATATTTGTCCAGGAAAGACAAGAGGCCATGATCAAACTGGTGGAAATGTCATCAGTAAAATTGATAGCCTGATGTATCTGGCAGGGCATGTGTCCCTTTCCTGACCATTTCTTGTACATCACTCATTCACTCTTTTAATAAGTATTTATTGAGCAGCTAGCTACTTTGTGTCAGTTCCTGTTTTGAGCACTGGGAAGATGATGGTATAGAAGACAGACAAGGTTCCTGTAGCCACCTTGGGAGTTTGGGGTCTGGGAAAAGTAATACAATGGAAAAAACCACTGGAGGATCTTCAGGGAAATGACATGGTATGATTTATGTTTTGAAAAGATTCTTCTGCTTGATATGAGAAGCCTCGTTGGGGGACTGGATAAAAACAGGGAGACAAGTTAGAAGTTAAGTTATGCTACAAAAATTGGACAGAAGTGAATTGGGAGTTTTTTCCTAGAGCCTACCCCTCAGATTTGCTGAGAAATAGGTGGTGAGGGTAAGGGGAAGGGAGGAATCAGGAATGACTTCTAGGCCTTTGGATATCCAGGTAGAAAGTGAATACCCAGATTTTATTAAAATTGGAAAGACTCACAGAGGAATATGTTTGGTGTGTGTTTTTTCCTAAATATGTATGCTTGAGATATCTTTTAGACATCCAAATTGAAATGTCAAGTGAGCATTTAAAATATCAGAGCTGAAGATAAAAACTGGGGCTCATCAGCAGGTTATATTTTTCAGTGAACTCACCTCTCTTGTCTCTGCCAGGAAAAAGATAGAGGGGTTTGCCTTTCTAACACAGTGCCTTTCTCCCAGCATTATAAATTATTTATTTACAGACAATGGCCATACTAGGGAAAAAGGAGGATGGCAGATGACCTGGAGAGTTGTTTTTGTTGGAGTATCTACAGAATTTGAGGAACAGTTAAATACAGATAATAAAGACAAGGGAAGAAGTAATGGTTTAGGAATATAGGAGTGTGGTAATTAAAATTTTTGGTCCCTATTTTTCATCCCTCTGTATATCCACACCATTTTCCGTATCATTAGAACGCTTAATGCTCTCCCATAATGGTGGCCACACTTCCCCTAGACACTGAGTTTGATCATGTGACTAGCTGGGATATTAGCAAATGTGATTCAAGTAAAAGCTTTAAAAAACTCTGACATATAGGAACTTCCATTCTTTTGCCTCTGCTGTTATCATGAGAAGGACATGACTGGGGTGGCCCACTGGAGGAGGTATGCCTAAAGCAAAGCCAAGAAACCTTTGTCAGCCCAGTAAAAGCCAACCTATATCATCTTATAACCAGCCAACCCCCTAGATAGTTGAGCAGCAGAACCTCCTAACCAGCCCCACCTGTTTCCAGTCATGTCAGCAATAAATACGTGGTTGTTCTATGCCACTGAGGTGTTGTGGTTCTAGCTGGGTGTAGAACTCACAGCCACTTACATCCAGTGAATCACCAGCAGAGTTCAAGATGTGAATGTAGATGAAATTACTCAAGGAATATAAATACAATGAAAAGAGGAAATTATGATGACTAAACTCTGAGGCAAACTTGTATTCAAAAGAACAGCTGAGATTAAGAAGGAATATCCAGATATAACTGAGGGGAACCAGAACAGGGTAGGGTGGTGTGGAAATAAGGCTTTAACAAGGAGGCACTGGTTAGCAATGCCAAATGCCCCAGAGAGGCAAACTAGTTATCTTTATATTCATTTTACAAATGAAGAAACTGAAGTTTGGGTGGAGTAATTAAGTTTGTTATACATGATCATACAAGCTAGTAAGCAGCAGTAAAAGCATGAGAACCTGGACATTTTGATTCTTAATGCAGGGCTCCATTATTTTTATCATATTGTCTTGAGTTTGTACTTCTGATGTCTATAAATATTAAAATGATTATCATATATATAAAATACTAAGATAAAATGATGTGATTTTAATTTTCAAGATTATATGAACATTAAAAAATAAGAAAAATATAACAGATTTTTCTGAGATTATAAAATAATTGTGTTACTTTAGTGTATGTTTTCTTCTGTAATACATCAGTTTTTATTAGATAATATATATTTTTATGTTAAGTGATTTTTCTATATTATAGATCAAAATAATGACTTTCCTTTTATGTTTAATATCATGAATTAATAATGATAATATTAAACTATTTTACAGAATGAACTCCAGGAGCTTGAAAAACAAATAGCAGTTGTCTCTGCAGAAACCAAAGAAACAGAAAGACAAATTGATCAGCAAGATGCTACCATAGAGAATATCAAACTTCAGTGCAGTATCCTAGAAACTCAAATCAAATCCTTACATTCAGAAAATGTGAAGCTTAAATTTGACATAGAAATGGCCCAAGAGGATTTTGAGGGACACATGATAAAATATAATGAATATTATATAAAAATAAAAGCACATAAAGATAGTATGAAGGAGGTAGAAAGCAAATGGCCATTTATGATTGAACTCCATGAAAAGAAAGAACTCGTTAAAAAACTAAGAACAATGAAAGAAGAACTCATGCAAGATCTCCAAAATCCAGGAGGAAAGAGAGTAACACAAGTACAGGTTTGCATTATTACTTAGCAAAACCTTTTCTATTATTATTCATTTTTTGAAAGTTCATATACTAAATGATAAATTCATCATTAAGTTAATAAAAAATACTATTCTGCATTTAGAAACTAACAAGTCTTAAAATGTAGGTAAGTACATATGTTGTATAACAACTATATCAAGTGTGCAAATGCATTAAGAAACACCCACAAATCCTTTGTGGATTTATGACAATATATGGTCAAACAAAATCACAGTGAATAGTTAATCAATTGGTTGCAGAAAGTATAATTCCCAAGTGTTGAAGCCTCAGCTTCTGTGCTCCAGATCCAGCTATGGATCCAGACCAATTCAGATCAATTTAGTATGCTTAATGCTGTTAATGCAAACAATATGAATTAATAATTGCATCTTAATCATCTTTCTGTTTCTCTTACTGTATTTTTCAAGACATTAGAAGACACAGACTTAAAATATAGATCATTTCTTGCTAGAGAATTAAAAAGTATCCTTTACACTGTTGGGCAGTTAATACCATGACTATCATTTTCCTTTATGTCTTATTTTCATTTAGTTTTTAGTTTTATATGTTTTCAAATCTAAGGTGTTTTATTCAGATAATAGCTCTTTATTTTGCACACACATAGAAGTAATATTCTAATCCTATTTATCAAAATTGAATTTTGATTTGGCTAGTTTTCCAATTATAGAAATACTAAAAATCCTGGATTTATATTGACTACGTCTTTTTTATTTGTATATTTTAAATTTTATAAACATACAGGAAGACATTACAAAGTTAAAGGATAAAATTACAGCTGTAAAAGAAATTATCAATGAAAAAACTTGTTTTCTTGAGGAAGAAAAAAAGACACATGAAAAACTTAGAAAAGAAATAGAGGTAAGTCTTAATTATCTATATTTCAGTGTTATATGGGACCATTTTTAAAAGTTACATTAATATTTTCATAGTTTATTCGCAACTCAAAACAGATGAAGAGCAAGAAAGAACTATAAAGTTTAGTAGATAAATACGTAACTAGATAACTAGATGTTCATTCAAAGATGTTCAAATATGTGAATGTATTTAAACAATACCAGAACTCACTCCTATTTAAATCTGGTCTAGAATTGTTCTAGCTTTCATTTCGCCAACAATTTGATATCCAACTAATGGTTATAATACAGAGGTTATACTCACAATTAAAAAGGATGCCCATTCCTAGACGTCAGAGATGCCTCAAAATACCTTCAAACTTCTCTGATTTAATATTTGCAATTATCAAGATTCAAAACAAATGTTAGGCAAAATTGAAAGTGTGACTAAATTCTTAAAGCATTGTGTTACAACTAATAGACTACTATAGTCATTATTGTTTAGAAAAGGAGAGCAAAATATGGAAAAGATGTTAATAAGGGCAAATAAAAAATGATTTTTACCTTTAATACATCAATTTAGGAAATAAAAAGATGCATATTGCCACTTTTCTTTTAACTAATTTGACATAATACAAAAAACTAAGGAATGTGAAGATAAAACCCCTACCTTTACATATTCTTTCTAAGAAACATGTTGATTTTACTGTATAGTTCACAAGGAATCCAAATAAATAAGAAATTATTTTGTCCTTATAGATGGCAAGATTTATTATAAAACTATAAATAGTTAATATATAAGTGGTATAAAAACAGAAAAAAAAATGACTAATGGAAAAAGGATCCTGAAATAACCCATGTATAAATGATACAAATAAAACACACACACTTCTGAAAGTATTCAAGGCAATATGAGAAAAAACTTAACTATTTATGTTAGAGAAGCATTTCTTTTAAAAAACAAAACACCTACAAACTCTATGATTAAATATTTTTACTTTTGACTACAAGTTTCCAGCTAATGGAAATACACTATAACAGGAGAGAAGACTCAGTTCTGGAGAAGATATTTTTAACATGTGTAAAAAGACTTATTTTTTAAAACATATGTGTTTAAAAAATCAATGCAAAATACAACCAATCTCATTAAACATACGAAGTTGATAACTAAAACCAAATGAGTTTACACATTTAGCCCATAAAATTATCAGTATTAGAGTTGGTTAAGCTGTGGAGCATCTAAATTTTAACACACTATTGTAACTGTGTTTTGGAAAGAAACTTGAAATTACCTAGTAATTTTTTTTAAGGTATAATTGTCATGAGGATAAGTCCACAAATTATAAGTATTTAGTTTGATTAATTTTGACTAGTATACGAATGTATCTGCATTACCATTACCTATATCAAGATACAGAACTTTCCCAGAATGTCCAAAAAGTTATCTTGTGCCTCTTTCATTAGGCAACACTATTTAGTTTTTTAAAAACAGCTTTATTAAGATATAATTTACATGCCATGCAACTCACCATTTAAAGCACATAATTCAGTGACTTTTAGTATATTTATAGATGTATATAACATTCACTCAGGTTAATTTTAGAAATTTACAACACTTACAAAAAGCAACATGTACCCTTCATCTATGACCCTTTTGTCTTTCTAGTTTATTTGCCCATATTTTTGTTTCATCATGTTGTTTCTTCCTTCTTGATGTTCTGAGATTTCTTCTTATATCACTTCCTTTTTCTTTAGAAAATTTCTAGGCTCGGTGCCTATAGCTCAACGGGCTAAGGCGCCAGCCACGTACACCTAAGGTGGCGGGTTCGAATCCCCAGCCCGGAACCGCCAAAACAACAATGACGACTGCAACCAAAACAATAGCCGGGCGTTGTGGCGGGCGCCTGTGGTCCCAGCTACTTGGGAGGCGGAGGCAGGAGACTTGCTTGAGCCCAGGAGTTGGAGGTTGCTGTGAGCTATAATGCCACAGCACTCTGCCCAGGGGGACAGCTTGAGGCTCTGTCTCAAAAAAAAAAAAGAAAATTTCTAAATTTTTTTCTTTTGGGGCAGGTCTGCTAATGATACGTTCTTTTATTTTATTTATTATCTGATAATGTCTTGATTTCTCCTTCATTTCTGAACTGTGTTTTTGCTAGATATGAATTCTGGGTTGACAGTTCTTTCCACAGTTGAAATATGTTATTTCACTTTCTTCTGGCCTCCATGATTTCTAAGGAGAAATCTGCTGTCATTTGAATTGCTTTCCCATATACAATTGTATGTAAGGTATTTTGTCTTGCTGCCATCAAAATTTTGTCTTTAGTTTTTAGAAATTTTACCATGACAAGTTTTTTTAATGAATTTCTTTGGATTTATCTTTTTTAGAGTTATCTCAGATTCTCAATTCTGTCAGTTTACATCTTTTGCCAAATTTGAGATTTTTTAGCCATTATTTATTTGAATACTTTTAAACTGTCTACCCTCTTTCTCCTCTCTCCTCTCCTTCTAGAACACTCATGACACAAATATTAGATCTCTTTTTTGTAGTCTCATAGGCTCCTGAGGTTCTATTGTATTCTCTTTTCAGCCTATTTTCTCGCTGTTGTTTAGACTGAGTAATTTCTAGTGTGCTTTCAGTGATGGATTTTCTTTTCATCAGTTCCCCACATCTGCTATTGAAATCCATTTAACTTTTCATTTTGGTTATAATCTTTTAGTTCTTAAGTTTCCACTGAGGTCTTTCTCGTATCTTCTTTCCTTTCTTGAGACTTTCTATTTTTCTAGGCATGTTTGTCATTATTTTAAAAATATTTTTATGATAACTGTTTCAAAATACTTGCCAGATAGTTTTAACTTCTGTGTTATCTTGATGTTAGGACATGCTGATTGTGATTTCTTATTCAGTTTGAGATCTTATTAGCTTTTGGTGTTATAAGCAATTTTCTATTGAAATCTGGACATGTTTTAAGATTCTGCCTCTTCATTAGTTCCAGATGGTAATTAGGTACAGATTCTCCTGCCAGTTTCTATTGACTCCACTGACTCCCATGGAAGGGGGTTAGGGATTCATATTACTACTGGTCAGGAGTGGGAATTTTGGCAGGCCTGTAGCCTCTGCTGATACCACTATGGCTTGGTAGGGGTAAAGATGCCTTGTTAGTGGCCCTCTCATGGCCCTTCTTGACACTGTGAGGATATGGCCTCTCTACTACTGAGCAGTGACAAAGTTCTTAACTCTTTTCTAGGACTTCTTTCTGATATTATGCCAGCAAGGAGAGGAATGATTACCACTTGTTGGGAGCAGTGGTCCAGGATCCTCAAATTGGTCTCCACTGACAATCCAGGGCATGATTTCTCATTGCTTAGAGAGATTTGAAACTCCTGGCTCCCTAATTAGTTTTCCCTGGTACCACCTTAGCAGGGGTTTTAGGAAACTTCATTACAGCCTAGCAATGAAAAATTAGCCAAATGTTGTGATGGGCACCTGTAGTCCTTTGGGAAGCTGAAGCAGGAGGATCTCTTGAACCTAGGAGTTGTAGGTTGCTGTGAGCTAGGCTGACACCATGGGACTCTGGCCTGGGCAACAGAGTGAGACTCTGTCTCAAAATAAATAAATAATAAAAAAAAGGTGATATAGGGATTTTAAGATAAATAAAAGCAGATAGATTTTGTTTCCACTAGACTCATAGAACAAGAAATGTTAAAGAAAAATAAATTTTAAAGCTGAAAGAAAATGGTGTTGAGAAAGATTAAAACATGAAAAATATGGGTACATAAATGAGTATTTTTCTTTTTGTGAATTATTTAAAAGCCAATTAATACTTTAAAATAAAAACAATAGCTGATCACAGTGGCTCATGCCTGTAATCCTAGTACTCTGGGAGGGCCAAAGGAGGTGGATTGCCTGAGCTCATGAGTTGGAGACCAACCAGAGCTAGAGCGAGACCCCATCTCTAAAAATAGCTGGACATTCTGGCAGGTGCCTGTAGTCCTAGCTATTCAGAAGGCTGAGGCAAGAGAATCACTTGAGCCCAAGAGTTTGAGGTTGCTGTAAGCTATGACACCTCAGCACTCTGCCAAGGGCGACAAAGTGAGACTCTGTATCATAAAACAAACAAATAAATAAAAAATAATGTATTTTGAGTTTTATAATACATGTACAGTAAGATATATCTCAATAATGGCCTTTTATTATAAAGTTCCAACATTTTCATGAACTGGTATGGTGCATGTATTAATCGAAGCTAGATTGTGAAAAGTTAAAGGTACTTACTGAAATTCCCCATGCAGTTTTAAAGAAAGAAAACATACGTATAGTATAGTTAGCAAGACAAAGGAAGAAATAAAATGGAAAAATAAAAAATAATTAATACAAAAGAAGACATAAAAGGAGAAAGAAAGGAAAAAGACAAAAGGGACTAATAGAAGACAAATATGATAGACTGAAACCACAAAATATCAATAGTTATATAAAATGTAAATGAACTAACCACTCTAATGAAAATAGAGAAATTATCAGACTGGATAAAAAAATCAGGGTGCAGTAGCTCACACCTATAATCCCAGCATTATGGGAGGCTAAGGAAGGAATATTGGTTGAGCTCAGGAGTTCGAGACTTGCCGGAGCAAGAGTGAGACCCCAATTTATAAAAAACAAAAATAACAACCAAAAATACCTAGCCAGGCACACAGCAAGCGCCTGTAATCCTAGCACTCTGGGAGGCCCACAGCTGGAGTCTGAGGTTGCAGTGAGCCATGATGTCATTGCATTCTGCTCAGGGCAGAGGGTGGGACTCTCACTCAACAACAACAACAACAACAATTAAAAAAAAAAAGCAAGGAAATAAAAAGAAAAAAATTAAGCAAGGAAATAAAAAATTAAAAAAAAAATCAGCGTTCCTATTCTCCTCCTCACAAGAGATGCACTTTTAATTTAAAGGCACAAATAAGTTGAAAGTACAAAGATGGGATAAACTATGAAGACACAAATCTTAAGAAACCTCTATGTTAATATCAAATTGATTT